CATCCTTGCCAATTGCATCCGGAATGTCGAACCCCTTGGTCCACCTCATAAGAGTACCCTTGTTAATGCCGAATTGCTGAACTGGGAAACTGAAAGTGAAACCGAGTCGAAATATGTGCTCGTCTCGATAACCCTCTGGAGTGCTCACGGTCTGCCGTCGGCGGATGTGGGCTTCAAAATGGTCTTCATGGTGAGTTCTGAGGAATAGCTCGATCTGCTTAGCCAGAAACGCAAAGAGGTCGCTGGCATGCTCTGTGACCATCAAGTCCTTCGGAATTGCTACTTTGCTATAGGTGAGGTTGAATGTAGTGTCGCCGTTCAGGTGGATGGAACAGACTCGGAAATTGGTGCCGCCCAGGTCGACTGCTAAATACAACCCCTTTCCCATGTCAGTTAGCTCGCAAGAGTTCTCAGGGAGCCGAGCATACCTTTTCGGTGCCATTGGGAACACCGGTAACGTAAGTAGGGATTTGGCTCAAGCTCGTCCCGTCCCGTTCTAATCCCTCGTCTACATCATTGATTAGTGGTTAGTTAAGTTGCTGAATTGACCTAGGTACAGACATACGCATTTGCCGGAGGAACTCCTGGACGCCTTTGTTGACGTCTTCGTCCGTGTACTCGAATTGCGCGGCAACGCGCTTTGTCTCTTCAGCGAGAGCCATTGTATGTGCGCGAGATACAGGAGGGGCGGTAGGAAAAGGTTGAGGAGACTCGCAGATGGGCTCTTGGACAACAACAGCCGGAGGAGACGAGACAATGCGTGAGAAAGGTTGCGATGTAAGGATACGCGAATATTGAGATTTGGCATGCGTTAGGAAAAGTTGCGCAGTCTATAAGTTGGGGCAGTTAGCAAGGACGACCCCAATTGCGTCAAAAGGAATTGATGCGGGGCTCCAAAGTATCCCCTGTATAGTAGGGCCGTAGACGCTAGGCGTATACCAAGCCGTGGGTCTACGGGGAAATAAACGTATATCGCGCTCCGAGAAACTCACCAGTACAAGGATGAGAAGGATGAATGAGAAAAGACGGATGGAAGTAAGAGGAGACCGGACTGCAGTCTTATTGTTTTGTCGGGCCTTCTCGTCCCTTGGTCCGTTCCGTCCGTTATCGTTCTGTGTTTCTGTAACACCACAAATCGAACGGTGGTCATCATCATCAGCTCTGGCGCTGAAGCGCCAGGCTCTAAAGTACTCCGGCAGCGTGGACGCCACGGCGAGTTTCGCGGGGCTTTAGTGGGGTTATAGTGCGCCTGTCTGGAGTCTCGGTAAGATGGTCGTCATCAACGCTTGCAGCCGACCCCCGGACTGCAAACCGCGTGGTGAGACACAGCTCCAGTGTTCTGCAGAACGGCCGGCCTTGTGATGATTAGGTTCAATGGGCAAATAATGGCTTCAATGTTGGTAACCGGCCCGTATATGTGAAGCGCCTGCAGATCGTCTAAGTTTTGCGACGGCTGCTATGATATCATGGGCGATCCACCCGTGCAGGAAACCAGTCTAGAACGCTTAGCCTATCTTGGGCTGGCTTGGTGCTGGCTTTGCTCCTGACTTTTAGCCAAGTGAATTGAATTGTCCCGTGGGCAGAAAACTGGGGGCTTAATTTGGCGGATTTGCCCGAGTCGTGTGTCCCCTTCAACGCCGCCGAGGTAGCCGTTCGTTCCAGCAATATGGATGGCAATTTATCTACCAAATGATTGATCAGGGCGAGATCTCAATCCCGGAAGCATTGAACACGAGAGCAATGAATGGACAGCCAATCAGCTAGGTTGCAATACGCCCCGAGGGAACATCGAATCTCAACCGAAGTAGAAGGATTCTGGTCGACTTCAAGTCAAAGATGGGAATTTCAGCCAATTGAAACACAAACCACACCCGCGGATTTATTATAGATGAATTGGAGAAGCACAAAAATGTGTGAAACGTCAGAAATAGGTGGCTGCATAGCAGAAGAAAAGCAATGGCAGGAATGATCAGAGGTAAGCCACAATATCTATCTGGACAGGAAGATGAGGAGAACTGACAGATTGCGGTGAAGCACAGATGATAATAATAACCCCTGTCTCACGATACCTCAATCGGCAAGCTCTTTCCACATCTATTTATGCACCTAAATAGTCACGCGCCACGTAACAGATTTGCAGATAAGGGAGTCTAATATCAATATACAGTAATCATCGTAGTTACATGATGGTTGAAAAATCTATAGAACGCCTCCTACCTTTTGGCCTAGGTTCATCTGAATAGAATGAGAAGTGTATGAGTTGAAGATGGATGTGTGCTGGGGCGAGTTTATCTTAGAAGCATGTAAGGTACATACTAACCACTCCAAACGGCTTGATTTTAATGTAGTAAGCATTGATTTCACTATTACTTTCCCCACTCTTTCCCACGCCGAAACTTCTGCCCACTTCGGAATGCTCGATCCTTTCTTCGGCCCTCACTCCCATCCTCGTGCCAGACTAGTCTTCGTAATACCTTCTTCAGCAATTATTCACGCCAGGTCTGCAGCACTTCGAATGGCTATATCGCCACCGGAACCGCCCATTGGGCTCATAGCATGGGCCACATCGTCTATGAGTGTTACTCGCCCAGTCTGACAAGCTGATCGAATTTCGATGTCTGGTTTGCTCGACATGGCAGATATGCAGACTGACATCTCCTGCGCAGCTGAATCCAGCAGCAGCTTTAGAGAATGGTGCCATGACTTGGCCGCTCTGTCCAGAAATAGCCTCTTCTCCTCGGTAAGCGTTCGGAGCGAGATGCTGTGCAGACAACCCAGGAAACGTAATCCGAGAACTCAGGTAACTTGGACTCTGATTCTTGCTGCGTGTTTTTTCGACCAAGTCATCGGTTCGATAACCATTTGAACGCTGGCCCTCTTGATCCAGGTATATGCACCAACTTAGCATATCTTCAGGAAGTTTCCTCTTCAAGTCTTCCGTTAATGGTGTTCGACCCCACAGAACATAACGCTCTAAATCTAGTAGTTTGCGATTTGGCTGGAGCTGTTTTCGCAGACGGCTCCTGAGGCTATCTACACCAATAAGTAATTGTCCCAAGCTCCACCGAGCCATCTGTAAAATTGATCTGAACGTGCTCATCGACAATCTCATGCGACGTGAACTCCTTTTCGTATTCAATCGCATCTTGGATGTCTAGCGAAGTGAGCATCCAGATCCATGTCCTATCCACAGGCATTAAATCCGAATCCGCCGGCGTCCGTTTCGGTGCCGGGTAACTAAGTTGCTTAGCATCAACATATCGCGTCTCAAACCGATTTCTGTCGGGTGCAGTGCGTCTCAACAGGTCTTGCAGCCGAGGAGACAGGATACTGTTCAGGGCCACCTGACCATCTTTTGAGATGCGGAAGCGATGGCCTTGCGAGCTGCGTAACGAATAGTGCTCGAACAGGCGAAACGAATTAAGCGAAGACGCAGGCCCTGCGCTAAAGTAAGGCCGGCGACGCCAGCGCTGATGATTAAGATGAACGGACCGTGGGCGGTGCCCTGTGACGTAGGTCTTCCAAACTTAGTGTGTCACCTATCCCGGCGTGGAAGGTGCTTTAGAGACATCAGAATGTTTACTTTCGAATAAGGTATGAGGTTACCACATGTGCAGGTGGTGACATGGGATTAATTGATGTTGTACGGGTGAAGACGTAAGCTCAGGAGCCAGTGCCAGTCTCACAGTCAGATCTTAAATATCCCGCTAACCCTCAATACGCACATATAGGTAAGTACCTGGCATCTTGCCAGAGGCGTTTTTATCTCATGCCGGCTTTCTAAGCACCCACCCTGTCCGCTCACTCTCGCTGTAGCCAGCGCTATAGTCCCTAGAAGCATGCTACTTGCTGTCTACATCTGTGTCCCCAGACAAGTAGATTGGAAATATACCAAACCTGGTTATCAGACCTCATCTGACGAAGCACATTAAGTATCCTGCCAGAACCCAAAGCCATGCCAAGATCCCGCCGTCAGGTGGAAGCCCTGGCTCCTCTGTTGGGGAAGCTGGGAATATGCCCCATTTTCGACGGAGATCGACCAGCGTAGGCCTGTCCTCTTCGAGACCATTATCACAAGTATTTATTGGTAGCGTGTCCGGTCTCTCCTTGTATAGTATAGTGGCGTCTTGCGCACTGAGACGTTAGTGAGCTAAAGGATCACCTACTCCAGACATTCCTCTCCACAAGTGAACTTTATTTGCTGCAAATGTGGTGATGCTTGGAATCCAATACAAGGGAGGATGACTAAATCTCTACTGCTTTACTGAAATATCGCCGAATTCCTGGAAGAGCTCAGCGACCGATTGATAGAGGTGCGTCCGCAAGGGCTTCTACTCTTTTAGGAAGTTCCACTGACAGTCCGGGCAATACCATTGGTTCACAGCAACCCACTAAAATTTTCCTTCCGGGCCATCAAGATAGAACTTATGAACTTTCCCCTCGACTACTCTATTGCGTTCAGAGGAAAACCGTTCCAATAGCCCTTAGGCTAGTAGCATACTTCCATCCAAAGTCGTGAAGAGCAGCTCTGTATGATGAATTGTTGCCAGACTTGTTACTAAATCTGTTGCCGGCGTGCGTGGCCAATACACTACTTCCAACATGTAAACCATGCATATCACAACTACCCAACAAGCAAGATGGCCAAGTTAGTCCATTGACCCAAATAGTAAAAGAACTTTTCATTGAGAACCAATTTAAATATCGTCAACTGTAAATAGAGATATAGTCATCGTACGAGATATGATTTGAGGCCCAAGTAGGCTTGATTTGTAGCAGTCATTGCACAGAGGCGTAATTAAGTATGAAGATAGCCGTATCGTTAGCTTTATCCAACACACGGGCCACATAGCTAAGCCCTAAAGCGAGATAGCCGAGCTTGGTCACACCTAGTTTGCGCACGCATTACCTAAACGGGTAATTCTAGGCTATTCGTTCAGTTCCGGCTTGTTCCTAGGCAAAAGAGTCACAATAACGCCGGCGAATCATCACAGCAGATCGGTGAGATGGCCGAGTTGGTTATGGCGTAGGATTAAGGTGTCTTGATCATCTAATTTCCTATGGAGCAATCCGCGTGGGTTCAAGTCCCACTCTCATCACAAATATTATATTTTTCCTATATTTTCAATATTTTTTTTTCCTATCACGATCGGAGATATGAGACTCCCCTTATATCCGTCATTATATAATACACTCCTACACTCCCCCTCATCGAGCCAGTTCGATTACTACTCTCGCCATCTTTTTTTTTTCTCCTCTCTCGAACTGTCCATTTAGTCTTTGGGTGACCTGATGCCCTCTCTCAACGAGGCCATTTCTAAACGCCTTACCTTTGCGGCCTCCTCATCTGAGTTTGAAAAAAAAAAAAGAAGCACATTATACATAGCTCAGAAGGAGAAGCCAACGCTTGACTGTTAGGATCTCAATCTGTGCCGGGGTCTTTGCTTTTGACGATATAAACCATGTCGGTGTACACTCCTTACATGTGCGGAATCAGCTTAGAGAACTTAAGTACGAGACGCAAGCCGCCCCTTATCCGACAAATCCCAGAAGTTAGAAGTCAGGGGTAATGGTATTAGTTGACATGTCATTATTAATTTGCATTTCCCATAGGTATGCTTGTGGAAGTAAGTCCCAACCTTGACAAACTGCTCATTGGGCAGATATGTGCTGTATGGAAGCAGGCTTTCACTCGAGACCCTTATACACACCATTTACATATAGGTTGGTGCAGAAAAGTCAAGTGGAAAATCATATGGATTTTATCTAATGAAGCGACCGACGAAGAGAGAAGTTTTGGACACTTTGAGTCCTTGGGCACTCAGCTGCGTGGAACCATCAGGGTTGAGGGCGTTATGATTCATCGCCGTGTTCGCTCTTGACACAAGCCTGTTACTATCGGATGTTCGGTCTGGACCCGTTAATATCTTGAGGCATCTTGGAAGGATGATTCATATCCGTATGTACACTGCGGCTCTAGAAGACGGATTTAGGACTCCTCGCGCAACATCATCATCGATAATACCCTAGAGGATCCACGTTGTGACAGTAACTCAGCTTCTGCAGTTGTCATTCCCCGTCCCAACGGTCTTCCAAGGTTGGATCTGATAGTAGCCAGGTCCTGCCAGGCTTTCCATGACTATCATTCGTTCGAAGTTGACTTTAGCTGATGTCGTTCAAGGTTGCTTCACCTCGGGCGTTCGAGCAACATAGGCGGATGTGACCCATGAAGCAGGCAACGATGCGAGCCTGATGAAGTTCTCCTTTCTGGCACTTGTACCCCCACTCGGCATCTATCACCCACGTCTTCTGGCATGGTAGCGAACTTAATAGTGACGCGTCATCAGAAAAAGGCAACCATAGATTACTGTTTCTGGCCAATTCAGACGTGAAGTGAATTGAGTCTATAAGGATTCAGAGCTATGAGAGCCTCATTAATGATAGGAGAGCTGGACTTCGGAGACTAGGAATCTCCATGTATGAAGCCTTGGGGGCTGAAACGGAATTGAAATCTCGATAGGACTCATCTAAATCCCGTAGGCAGTCCTGCGGCTCTTTCAAACACAGGATTTTGAGGCTCTAGGTTATATTCGGTGCACCTGGACAAGACCACCTCGCTTTTTGATACCCGGCTAAGGCAACGAAAACTGATATATATAACATTAACTTCCCCCCGATCATTCGGGGTTAACCAATCTTACCGGTATAGGAATTTCTCAAGTGTATTCGAACATAGCATATTACCTCTCGACTTTCATCTATAATATCTATGCGTTGTTCGTCTTTCATTAGTGAACCCGATGTATTCTTCGATTGGTCCCGAAGATTCAGCTTGGAAGACCACTGATTGAATACTCAAAAGAGTCAAGGACGTATTTCTTGAGGATAGGTATTAGCATTGTATTAGTTGCTGACCCAATATGGCCGGACCATTTGCGTCATTTCCGATGCATGCGATGCGAAACGTCCACACCTTGGAATCCACGAACGAGAAATATAACCACCCCTTTTCCATCAATAACCGGTAGACTCGACGGCATTTCCTTTGGAGCACTTTAACATATACTCGATAGGCCCTGGGATGACTCGTTCATATTTACCGACAGAAGGCTCTACGCCAAGCATACGCAGGTAGCTACCAGATAGGTACTAGGTAGGCTTTTTTCCATTTGCTCACCGAAATATAAGTCGGGCAAAACAGATTATCCTAGCGCAAGACATCGTGGCTATGCAAGGAAATAAGGCGACGGTCGCCTTTATTTGCCTACTTTTCGTGTTTGGAAAGATTTATCAGCAATTCTTTATTACCCGTGTGCCGCCTTGTTGTCGCAATCGTTACTGCCACCCGGGCAATTCTCTTCCTAGACCATCGAGATGCAAACAATCAGCCCGACGCAAGCAGGATGACACGATCCGAGTTTCGAACGCGATGAAACTAAGTGACGTGCATCATTGTTGGACTTGGGACAGGAATTGAAGATTCGGTGAAACCAATTCTCGGATTTGGCCGAATCGAGTCAAACCTCCCTAGTACACAGCCCTATAGGGCATTTTGTCATATGTGCCCTAGATGGTGCCTAGGTAGTGGCTGAGCGTGTCATAAGAGACGAACTTCATTGATTAGTACTGCGAAGAACGGGCTCATGATACTACTATGCGTCGGGGAATTTTGTCTTGAGGCAAGTCTTACCAAATCAAACCTACCCCTAAATCGCGTTATCCACTCTCCTTTTCCACGTGAACTATGACCATGTTCTCTTTGACTACTACAAACTCAATACTCTAATTCATCTCACTGCCTGATTACCTAATTAATTAATTTACAAAGTCGAATTCCAACTCGTCCGGGACCGACGCCCGCGCCTGACGCTATCCACTGTGCCTCCCCGGGGAATTTGTAACCAGACCAGACGTTACCATGGGCCCCTTTCTAAAAGGACGGATAGGAATGACGAAGCAGCTTATTTCATGGCGGTACTACTCTGATACTGCTTGCCTTAATGGATATATCACGATGGGATGGCGAAGCTTGCTTGTGTACCTCATCCCGGGAAGCTAGCGGATACCAATGGATCAAAAGCAAAGCATTACTCGCTGCGGAATGATGCTGTCCTGAGAGCGGATAGGCCACAGATCTCACCGAGAGCAGGTGTCTCGACAAGTCGCCGGATCCACACAGTCTTGACGTCCCGGAGCTGGATTGTCCTGTTCTACGCAGATGCGACAAAACCCCAATGGTATGCAGACATACCACGCCTCGATTCGCACCCAAATGACCATGTTTGAAGTCTACCTTGCTTTGAGCCATGGGCTGTGTCGATATGCGTGGATTGCCCAGTATTTTGTCACTCCTATCGCAGGCGAACCTGGAGAGAATCTCGAATATATAAACCGAGGCCTCCGAGTCTGAAAGTGATCAGAGACACACTTCAAACACTACCACGATTCCGAACAACACATAAGAAGCTTCGAAGTTCTACTCGATCCGAAACAATCTACTTCTCATACCTCAATACAAGATCTCATCTCGCCCATCATGCCTTCCGGAAACAGCACTGCAATTTGGTACTGCTGCTCGTGCCAAAAGGGGCCCATGACAGTCGATGTCACCCCTTCCTGCGTCTATTGCCACGACCATATTCGTTGCACTGGATGCCAAACCGGAACCTCAACCGTCCGCCACGGCCGCTAAAGTAAGCTCCTTGAAGTTGGTCAAGCCTCCTAGACAGACAGCTAATTCTCAGAAGGGTTTGCGATCAAGAGAAAAACTTCGATACTCATCGATACTCATCGAGATGTGAACCTTCTTCGCGTCTCACGTGGACAATCGGCATCACCTGCTGGCCTTCTCGGGGACGTCACACCCGTACTCGCGGGACCAGATAGCCACCTATACCATTCCTTTCGCTAAGTTATTTCGGGGGTTCCTCAGGCGCATTCTCTGATACCACCATTCGGCTTAGACCCGGATTGCAATTACAGACTTGGGTACACAGGACCCTACGAATAGATCATAGATCGGCTCAGGCTGGCTTGTACCTGACTAGAGGTGGAAAATTGGAATGGAAAAGGGGGTAAAAGGGCAAAAAGACAAAAAAAGGAAAAAAAAAAAAGTTTGTTTTCGGATAGATGCTCTGATTTACAGTTTCTTGTCTGTACTTCGATCGCTCCTTACCTGCATCAATAGCGGTAGGTATCTTTGGAAAGTCTCAGGGGGTTTGGGGGGAAGGAATATGTCTACAGTGTTTGGAATAGAGATTCCTTTAACCTTTACATGCAATCTTCTTCAGTGATTATATTACACTACTTGTCTAACGTATCTAGTGCCTCAACATTTCTCTTTGCACTTGTCAGTGTAAGAGGTAGTTACTTCAGATCAATCAATCAAGATATTGGGATTTGTACTCCAGCGGGAACGAAGAGAGACATGAGAAGGACCACAGCGTTTACTTCATTTGCCCTGTACCTATTGCTAACCCCGTGCAAGCATTCAGTAATTAGGTCGATTCGAGAATATTGTGGCAGTGCAAGGTAGTCTAGACAATCAATCCCTACAAGCTCTCACGTCATAATCTTAGATTTCGGTATTTCTGATCCATTGCGCCCTAAAACGTGGTATAGTAATAAGAAAGGGCTAATATGTCTGCCTAGATGCTTAATTGACACTGTGCCAGCGAGCCCTGAGGCTATTATGTTGTCGTTAGATCATGCATAATATCTGGCACATGGCATAAACGTCATTTAGGTAGACCCAGCTAGACGGGTTGATTCGGAAGAAAGCGAGGCGGCTACGTCAGACGAACAAATGCCCTTTGCGGTCTGATGCGACTAGGGGGTAGATCCTTGTGTTTCTCAGGGGCGGAAGGGTGTGCACAGATCTATCGATGTAGTCTAGAATTAAAGGATTGAACTCTCACAGCCAGTCAGCGTCGAGAAAAGGGCCCCGAGGGATTTACTACCGGGCGCCACCACGTGCGGGAGTACATGGTACACCATCTGGTGGAACGTGTGCGGCGTAAGGCGTTGAGGCTGAGTTTCAATTTGCGTTATTAATCGCACACATGAACTGAGCGTCCCGTGAGGAATCATGTATGCGCGG